TTTAACACACACACATATGAAAGGTTTTGAATGAAATGTTTTCGACAGATTACGCCCAAACTGTAGTGAAGCATGATACATAAAATCTCCCACAATGGGCGACGTTCTTGCTTGTGGTGGGAAGTGGACATGCTTTTGGCAGCTGATGGGGCGTGTCGCGATATGTGGTATATACAGAGAGAGGAGTAGCCTGAGTTGTTATTTGTTTTAGTAGAGGTTTTACGGCGCTCGCAACTGCATAAGGTCATATGAGCGCCAGAAGATTAGAGCTGTTACAAGAGAGTAACAAACATAAAAAAGAAGAAGGGGAGATAAGGACGATAGGTGTTTGCTAGGAAAGAAGAAGCAAACCACACCAGAGCACCCGCCGACCACCCACAAGTCTGAGTTAGTGAAAATGTCTGTCTGTGTGTCTGTCTGTCTGTCTGTCTGTCCACGCATTTCAGCCTCCCCTCCCCCATCTCTCTCTCTCTCTCTCTCTCTCTCTCTCTCTCTCTCTCTCTCTCTCTCTTTCTCTCTCTCTCTCGCTGTGTCTCTCTACTCTCTTTCTTAGCTCGCCATCATCATAATAATAATATTGTTGTTTAAAGGTCCAGCCACCTTCCACGTACTTTATGCACACATTTTTCATTCAAAGCTTCTGTAGCCGAGACGTTTTTCCTGGCCAGAGTCAAAGAGCTCTATCTGCACAAGTAACGTACTAAATAATGCACATGGAATCTTTTTGGACTTAAGGCTCGCATGACGTCCTGTTGACATTTTCTTAGTAAGAGTAGACATTTTTGATGAGGTTGCTACTGTCACTAACTCCATCCAACTGCCTTGACCCTTCCGTACAGACAGCGCCACAGAATTGAGGAGACAACAGAAGGTGCAACCCCCCAACCCATCCCCCCAACCCCCCCCCCAAAAAAAAAAAACCCAACAACCTAACCCAAACAAACAAACAAACAAAACAAGAAAATACGAAAAACAAGGAAAAAAGAAAAAGAAATGTCGCGTTCGTTGCAGACTCTGCAAGAGCATTATGATCCTCGCAAATCCAAGATGATCTATTTTTCCAGTGGTGCTCATTGCTTTCTGATACTTATTCATTCTTATTACACAATGTACATGGACATTACATTGTTATATGTGTATCCCATCTGTAACAGCAAGCAAGGGCAAATGAAATGGCATGCAGCAGGTGGCAATACTATAGAAGAAGAAAAAAAACATTACTTGCAACCCTTAGTTCGTTATTGTCTTACTGTTTAATAACTCTCCCCAACCACCAATTAAATTGTTCTCCTGATCTTCACTTTAAAAAATATTTAAAAAATATTGATAACAACAGTTCGTCCATTAACGTTTGATGGTGACCAATGCAGGGACGGAAGCCCGCCTCCTAAATTATCTAATCCGTGTCGATGGGGGACATCTTCATTTTAAAAGAGATGACCAATGCATTTGCAGATGAGAATGATAATAGTATTCTTATAGAGATTTAGAATAAAAACGAGGATTTGCTATGGCCAATGAGACCAATTCTGACAGAGGAGAGTATGCCACATTTTGAGCATTTAAAAGCTTATTTTAATGATAATACGTAATATATTATGTAATTAGCATTTATAGGCCTATGCGCATATCTGCGCTTAACGACAGCATGGTGAGTGTTACATTGACTTTACAACCATTACTAGATCTAGAAGGTCTATTACCCCAGTAGACCCTTGAACACTCAGTCATTCTCGGCCTCGCCCGAGCTTCAGTTCCACTTGTGAGTGTACGCAGTCTGCGGGCCTCTCTATAATTGTAATTAGT